CCAGAATTTTTTTTGACAATTTAAGGCTTTTCCATAGAGATTATTTATGCCATTTTTTCATTTTAAATGTGTCAGCACTGTAGTGTAAATAGCTTTAAATCTTTTTAGTGTGATTTATATTGAAATGTGAACCACTTAATAAAGGTTCATAATAATAAATATGTTTTCTGTTCAGTCTGCAAAGACAAATTGACAAATCAGTTAAATCATTTGTTGATACATTGTGTTTCTCCATGTTGGTGGTAATGGAGTGCAAATGTATGTACATGTTCAAGTCTCCTAAGTATTTAAATTCTCCACACTGTGCAAGCATTTTAAACAACCGAGGTTCAGTTATGATTGTGTGTATGTGTGTGTGTGAATGAATGTATATTTGTATATCCTATTTTGCACAATTTCTTAAGTTGCTGAATAAGATGAATATGTGAAACTTCCTAGCTCTACTTTCTGGAATACATTTAAAAATATTTATATTCAACATTAAGAAAGTGGCTAAGGTAATAGAAGAAATTTTAGAAAGTTGGGAGAAAAAAGATGTTTTAATAATATCTAATTCTACTAATGAAGATATGTTGCCAAGATTATTTAGTTGTAACAAACTTTCTTTGTTGTCTGTAGAACAAGTAGAAAGTTTTATTAATAAGCACGCGTGCTATTCTTGATTATAGCTGAGTAAAAAAAAATCTTTAGTTATAGAAATTTTAATTGTGAACAATTAAAATCTTTTAAGTTTTTCTTGCAGAATGAGAAAAATATGGCAAAAATCAACCATAAAATAAGGGCCATGCCTTGACTGCCATATAGAGAGCTATAACTGATACTAGGTTACCTCATCTTTCTCAGGATCCCCCCACCTAGCAAGGAAAACAACCTGGTGCACTTCCATCTGTAAAGAACTGTAAAACATAAATGTCATAGGAGACAGAATTGCCAGTGCCTAAGTAAGGGTGAGTAAAACCCATCTCTCTAATCATGGGGTCAGCAATCTTTCAGAGTGCTTCCACTTCTGGAATTAAAGGTCAGACAAGTCTGTGATGTATGCACAGATGTAAGGAACTCTGGTCATTACAAACCTATTCACTGATTCTCCTGTCACTCCGGGCCATACTTTGGTTGATAACTTTCAGGTGCACTTCCTTGGGCTCCATTTCAGTGTTTTTTGTTCTGGCCTCTTTCGTGGCACCCACCAAAACTCATTTCCAGTTAGGGAGAAGCCACTTGGAAAGAGGCACCAGAAGAAATAAAAATGATCAGCAACAATGATGTCTGTTTTGACCCCCATTTTAATAAAAAGGCGGGCAAATACTATAGGAAATGAATATGTTTACAGCATGGGAAGTCATGGGATAGGGAAGTCTAAATCATGATAATGTAAATAGGGGTTTTGTTTTATATGTCATTGTCTTATGCTCCTCCCTACCAATCTTATCTGCTTCGTTAAGTTAAATTTAGGGATTTCTTTGGGAATGAAAGTTCTCAACAAACCAGAGTTGAGAAATAGGAAGAGATGTGGTTAAAATAGTTTTGATCTTTTAAAATTTGAAAGTGATATAATTAAGAAGTTATGCTTTATTTTCACTTTTCCAGTCATATAAATAAATGCACCAAGGTCACATTGTAGGAAAATTTCTTTAGGGTATCCCTCTAAAATATATGAGCCTTAAGCATTTAACTTGAAGGAATGTGTATCTAAAACAACTATAGTGGTTGTTTTCAGGTGTACATTCTGATATAACCTATAGTCAAACTAGGAAAATTGGTTTTCTAAAGTGATTAAATCTTAAAGTGAAGTGTAAGTAATCAGTGGGTAACAATCTTACCAGTTCACATTCAGCAGCTTCTGTTCCTTGTCTTAGGGATATAGTGTAAAATTTTTAAATCCTCTTCAGGTCACTGAGAACTTCTTGACAACCTTTGTCACACACAAATTTCTATTTTAATACTGCATCATATTAATGGTTTCTTAGTACATTCCACTTCTTTTATCTGAATGAAAGAGTTTTGCTTTTACTTGGACCAGAACAAGGCACTTAAGATGTAGTTTCTATATGGTCATATGCTATATAGAATAAATTGTTATATAAATTATTAAATGGATATATAGACTTTTACATAAAAACTTAAGTACCCCAGAGGTATCTGGTATAGCAATTATTTTTTCCTACTTTTGTTTATACCCTCTTAGCTATCTAAGTAATATATATTCCATACTCAGGTTAGCTGGTTAGCTGTGAAAGAATTAAGCATTTGTGATATTTAGTTGCAAACTTTACTAAAGCCATATATTCATTATCTTCTTTGTTACCAAGAAGGTTGACCTTAAATAAAGATGAGGTTGATGTTGCACAAGTGTGTATGTGTGTGCGCGCGTGTGTGTATTTCTGTGGGTGTGAATATGTGTCCAGGAATGGGGGTTTCACTGAGGTTAGGAAGACATTTCTTTTGTAGGTTAGGTCTTTAAGGTATTTAATTAATGTTCCTGGGGATAAAACAGGTTTTTCTTAAATACTTAGGGCAGGTAAGATTTTTGTAAATAATAAATTAGCATTGCTTTGTTCCTTTCAGTTATATTTTTTGAGCACATTGACTGTCATGTAAAACACCTGTCTCAAACTTTATTTTACATTTACCAGAGGTGAAGATTTGTTTTTGGAGTCTGAAAGGTAGTTTCCTTGTATTCCACTTTTCAATAAATGCAAAGATTGATAACCACAGTCTTTTTACCTTTGGCATTGGCGGGACATTCAGATAATTCAGTCTACATCTAAAGAGCTGTAAGTCCTTTATCTTCTCTGTGGGCACTCCTGTTCTTTCTGTAACTGTTGCAGACTGAAGACGAAAACAACTGCATTTAATATCAAGCAGACTGCACTAAAAGACCTGTCTTTTCCTTCTAAGTGAAGAGCCATATGTACTCTTTCTACTGGGTAGCAGGGCAAGCATCTTGCATTTTGGGTTGTCTTCCCTCTGGCTCTTCCTGGACTTCAGGCCCTTTTGGAACATGAATGAGCTGAGAACAAAATCTAGGCATACAGCATTTATGTGAACTATAAATTAATAGTAAAATATTTTGCCTGTGTGTTTCGTTACTGTGACCTGCTACTAAGAATGCACTGTTAAAATGCAAGAACTCTGGATCCTTCAATACCCTTTGAAACTTAAAATTTATGCATGTATGTTTTTAAAATGTTAAAGGCTGGCCATGTTGATGCACACGTGTAATCTTAGCACTTGGGGAGCCGCAGTAGGAAGACGTGTGGGTTTGAGGCCATCCTGGGCTACATAGTTCAAGGCCAGCCTGAATTGCACAGTGGGACCCTGTCTCAAACAAAACAAAACTCCCCCCAAATAGTGTATTACTCTGTAAAGTTCATTACTATTTAAGACTATGAAGACACAGAAGCAAGCCAATATAGTTATAAATAATTTGCATCACACTGTTGAAAATGTATTTGGCAGTTTGACTCCCACCCCTGAGAAAATTTTCTTTAATTTGTTAATTTCTTTTTGGGGAAGCCAGATTTTTACATGAAGTTTGTTGTCAAAACAGCCTTTTTGTGGAGCCTGGTTTCTGTTAATTCTTGTGTTCTAATTCTCTTGAATTCTTGGACATTTTTATCATTTTTCACAGGGAATTGAGATGGTTTTCTCAAAGGTCACCTTTCAACTGCTGACTCAGTTGACACATTAAACATGTTTAATCCCTACAGCATTTAGCATCTGCCACTCCTTAGAACTCTTGATATGTTCTAGTTGTTGTTTCTTTGTTATTATTATTTTGTATTTTTTTAGGGAAGGGTCTACCAGGGTGTTCAGGATCTCACTACTACATCTGACTCATAGTGATCACCTGTTAACAGCCTACCAAGAGCTGGGATTATGGGCAGGTGCTTTAATCCGCTGAGCTATTTGGCTGGCCCTAGTTCTTGTTTCTTTGAAGGATTTTTTCTTTCTGGCCGTTCTACCACTAAGACAGTCCTCATGGTCTTTACACCTCTCCACTGTGCCCTGTAGTTTCAGGACCCCATGACTTTTACTAGTCAGATTTTAGTTTCTCCCTTAAATTTTCTTCTCTGGGTTTTGGTAGTGCTGAGATAGAATGAAGGGTATTTTCTACTGAGCTACATCCTAGCTCCTTTTATTTTGAGATAGGGTCTACGTTTCCCAGGTAGCACTTGAACACATGATCCTCCTGCCTCACTTTTTAGAATGTGGCAGTGATAGCCACGTACTGCCATGTTGAGCTCAGATTAGTCATTTTTAGATACGATTGTTACCTGTTTAGAAAAATTGCACAGTGGCTCCTTTCTAAAGGACAAAGGCCAGATGCTTATTGAAGCACTGAAAAGCCTTTGTGCTGTCTTCCTTTTGAGACTTATACTACAAGATTTCATTTCATGTGTCCAGTTTTCAGATTTACCAGATGAGAGTTTACAGTCATTTGTCCAGGTATTCCCTGGAATCCCCTTTGGACACTTAAGTTTGTGGCTGTTTAAGCCTTATATAAAATGCACAGTAATTGCATATAAACCAGGCCCATCTTGTTTACGCTTTAAATCATTAGACTATTTGTAGTATCTACTACAATGTAAGCCATTCCATATTACTTAGGGAATAATAATTGGAAAAAAGATCTCCGTGGTTCAGTATTTTTCTGAGTATTTCCAATCTGCAGTTGGTTGCACCTATAGATGAAGATGTGGATATGGGGGGCCAACTGCACATTTTCTGCACGGATATTACAGATTCATTCTGTCTTTGCTGGAGGTGCATCTGGGATACACAGTGACATCTTAGGTCCTGCTTTTCCTGACTCCATCCTGGCTGTTCTGCATAACTGTTGGGACTAATTCTCTGCCTCTCAGCCCCTTTGCTCACACTGAGTCACATTCAGCTAAAAGTTCGCAATTTTCTTTATTGCTTTTCGCCCCCAACACCTAATTCTTACTATACTTGGTGTTAAATAAATACTTCAAGAAACAAGAGTAACAGGGATGGGAAGATAATGTGGTTTTCTACAACTTAAAGAGCTAGTCCTAGACTTTGTAGCATAACTTTAGGATTGCAACACAAAGAAAGGTGGAGGAAATTAGACCACCAAGTTTCTATCTTGTAACTAATCTTGTGATAACTATTAGATATCCAGGACCACTGGACAGTTTAGAAGAGGAGGTATAAACCTATACACTCAACATTCTGCCTTGGACTAGCTTTTTCTGGAGAAACAGAGAGTTATTACAAATTAAGTTTTAACAGTGTCCTACATGACTAAAATGGCAACCATTGTATAAATAGTCCTTTTATAGTTCATAGTCTGAGGCAGAATTCAAATGTGTGTCTTAATTGGTAAAGTCTGATTATCAGAAAGATTTAGCTTATGTTTAAGTATAAGCTTGTTCTGTACAATTTTGTGTAATTTGCCTACTGACAGTAAAAAATTAGAAATAACGGAAGAACACTACCTTTTTCAGCCTGTGTTCTGTTTTAAGAGTGGGACAAGGACATGAAGACGACACCTTTTCAGACAACCCCAGCGTCTCTCATGGCATATTAGATTGAGTCCATTGTAGCCCTATGGTTGTTTAAGTGTGTCAATAATACACAACCTTAAGAAAATTAATTCACTGAGTTTTTCTTCTCTGTAAGCGGGAAGGTATTGCCTATGCTGTTAATTGGTGAAAAGTAAATGAGAGAACAAGCCGAATTCTTAGCTCGTTGTTTGGCTTATTACATGTTTCAAACCATAGCTTCTGCTGCTGGAATTAAAACAGTTAAATAGTTGGAAGCACTGAGTATTTTCAGCCTAGGATCACCCTAGCCATTTTGCTAATTACTGTCTCCTGGACATATTCTTCACTTGACTTCTGGACAGAAGATGGAATAGGGGAAGAAGAAAAAGCTTGATGAGCAAAGTCTGGTATGGTGGGCATTTAAAAAACCTCATTTACTAGTTTGCTCAGAGTTGGCAATTCAGAGTTCTGTCAGACTGCCAATCCTGATGCATGTGCATTCTGGATGTGGCTATGGTGTATTAATGATGGTACTTAGTAGGAACTGTGATGAATATGTGGTTGGATGACTTGCATACAGGGCAAGCAAAGTCAGAGTAAAACAGACCTTGTGAAAGCTGGGCTAGAATACATGATAGCCCAGGATGGCCTCAAACTTGTAGTAATCCTCCTGCCTTAGCCTCCTGGATGCTGGGATTACAGGTGTGTGGCACCATGACCAGCAATCCCACCTGCTCTCTTACCCAGCATTTGATAACAAGCACCTTGTACCGATCCGTCACCCCCAACACACTTCCTGTAGGAGATCAATTTGTAGAAATCACATTAGGCGTGAAATTCTTTCATTTTTCAGAGACCATGAGCTAACTTTATTTCATTTAACTGGGCTTTAGCTTCTTTTACTTTCAGCTAGTTCTAACAAGTCACTGCTGTTATCTGGGTAGTTCTGTCAGGGAGTAAAAGCAGTTAGCCTTTGTGCTCAGAGTGAGTGGTGTTTCCTCTGCAGACACAGCCAGTCCACAGTAAAGGCCACACTAAAGCACTCTGCTGAGCTGTCAGTGAGAAGTTGTTGCTCTCGTGGTGTCTCAGGTACCTGCCCTGTGTGAGGACTCCCTTCTCTTCTCTGGCTCATGGCTTCTGGTTATTGTTCTGTCTACTGCTCCATGGAAAAGCTAAGTGGGAAGTAGGCATTTGTAAGGCTAAGAACCCTAAAAATTACAGGCAGCTGCACCTCTAGGAAGCTTTCTAGCTCTTGAGGCTTTCAGTGTATTTCTTGGGACCTGAAGACTTTCTACTTTCTTTTTTTTTTTTAAGTTTATTTATTTATTTATTGTGTGTGTGTGTGGCCAGCTCAGCCCACCAGGGGGCGGGGCTGGCTGGCATGTGGTGCTGGGGGATTGAACCATGGTCCCTGTGCTTTTGCTAAGCTTGTTCTAAGTAGGTGCTTTAGACCACTAAGCCATCTCACCAGCCCAGAGACTTTCTACTTTCAAGTGGGTCTGTGTTCATGTTCTGTATAGGTGGGGACTGCTACATCTTACCCTCATGTTCAGGATGTCCCTCAGTTGTGGATCCTTTGAACGTCTTTCTTTTTCTTGTTTTTGAGACAGTCTCACTACATAGTGAAGGATGGCCTTGAACTTGCTTATATAGCACAGACTAACCTTGAACTTGCCAAGATCTGGTGATCTCCTATCTCAGCCTCCTGAGTGCTGGGATTAGACTGTGCGCCACCATGCCTGGCTCTTTCTTCTTTTCATATTTCAAGTCTTACAAAAAGTTCTTTTGTTCACAAGTTGTTTATACTCAGAAGTTAAAACAAATCTTCGCTTCAAACCAGACAAGTTTTATGTCCCGAAATTACTGTATGCACTACCCTAACAGTAATGGCATCAGTAAGGTTTTGATGCTTAAGTTTCTTTCTGGAAGGCAGTGTGTTTATCTTAAAACCCCATTAGCAAACTTCTCTGTATTATAAAGGAAGTAGCCTCTAACTAAAACCAAATGTAGAATGGCATTTTCTTGCAATACTAATGGATTATGTATTGTTTTTTCTACTTGTAAGCATGGTTCTGTCTTTGATTACTTTTAAATGTATTGTGACTACGGTACCATCAGTGATCCCTCACTGTGGGCTTTAGCACAGCACTATACCAAATTAAAGGTCTACTTTCTTTAAACTCTTCAGGTGTCCTCAACATTGATGCTCTTGTGCAAACAGGTTGGTTACTCTGTTGCCTTTTACATATAATTCTCAGGCATTTTTTTTTTGTTAGGAGACCTGCTCTATCTTCTCAGCAATCTCAGATTTTTGACTTTCTCATCCTAGTGGAGGGGTCAGCAAACTACTGCCCGCAGCCCCTATCTCGCCCACCACCTGCTTGTGTGCAGCCTGTAAGGCAAGAAGTCTTTGTAATTTTAAATGGTTGAAGCAAAAATCAAAAGAATATTATGTGTAAATTTCCTGTCATAAAACTTTATTAGAACACAGCCAAGGTCTATGGCTTTGTCACAAGGGCTGAGCTCAAAACTGGAACAAAACCCTATTCACATGTGTCCCCTGACAGATATGTCCTGCTGATCCCTGTCCTGGCTGACTTCACATGTGGTGCTGTACCTGTTTCCATTTTCTCTGTGAGGGCTCACTGCTAGAGAACACTTGCATGAATACTTTTATTGAACTACAGAGGTGAAAGGTTTATTTTGAATTTACTTAATATATTATAGAGATCAAACAGCTCAGATCTGAGTTAGGAATATCTGTTTATACCCAGAACCATTCCACATATTAATTATCTGCAATCCTATTTTCAAATACCCCAATACAATATTAATTATAAGCTGGAAAAATATTTACAATTGATTTTTATTTAGGTTAGATTTTAGTTTCAAACGCTGAGCAAAAATTTAAGCTGTCTTAATTTGTCGTGCTTTTTAAATGTTTGTAAAGGAGCCCAAAATTCTGTATTAAAGTAATCTGTGTTAGCAGACAAAAACTGGTATGTTAGACCTTTTAAAAATAGAACAGTACCACTTTAGATTTCTTAAAGAGCTAAAAGCACTATATAAGGCAGGGAGCCATTCTGCTTTAGTTATAATCCCCTTTTAGAATTTTTAAATTACTGTTACATCTGCTTCTGTGGAATTGGTGAAGTGTCCTATTAGGGTGATGACATTTGTCAAAGCAGGACACCCCAAGAGTGAATGGGGCACTAACCCTCTGGGGCCCTACGACAACAGGCATGAACTGGGCCTGTTCTGACAGAATGAGGATAGAGGCCCCTGCTTTAGGCATAGACAAACTTCTTCACTGGCATGCCACCTCTCATCTGTCCCAATTAGAAAGTAGCGGTGACAGTGAACTTAGCACGGGTGAAAGCATATGACACTCAAATTCTTTCTCAATACTCCAGTAACTAAGTTTTTTTCTTAATAATTTGTAAGTATGAATAGCCAATTATTTTGGTCATTACAGGGTCATGATATAATGAACTTAAATATACAGATTAAAAACTTTTTCAGATGAGATATGGTCTTGCTATATAGTTCATGTTGCCCTTGAATTCACTCTAGAGCTAGTTTATGGGCTTTATGTTTAAACGTTGAGCACATATAGGGGGAGTATGTATATGCATCAAATCACCACAATGAATATAATCATTATGTACTGCAAATGTACTAATGAAAACAAAAATTAAAAAATATTGACCACATACAACAGATTATTCAAGAGTCAAGTGGAAAAATAAGGTCAAGAACAAACTTTATTTACATAGGAGTAATAAAGATAGCAAGAACTCAAATACTGAATAATCCAGCTTTGGGTTGATTGGAAGTCCATGATGTACCAAGCTTATTTCACAGACTCGAGAGAACACTGCATCTGGCGTTTCCCCGGGTCTCAGGCCTTCTTCCAGCTCACCTGGAAGGCCCAGAACACTGTAACTGTCACCTGTTTCAGAGCAACAGACACAAAATGATGTTCTGTACTTAAGTCAGTCTCTCACAAAAAAGACGTTATATCCAAGTTCTGTTAGTGCCCCAGCCAGTAAGGCCCACAGAGGGATGAAGACATACGACAGATTCATGGTTGTAAACTGCTCCAGTTTAGCACAGAGTGTGAGGCAGAAGGCTAACTTAAGTAACATGGCAATGAGGTACCAGGCTTTCTTCTTGATGTTGTGTGATCCGTGGCGAGGGTCAAAACCAGACTTGCACCGCCCAGCCATTTTCACAATCAGCATGACAAGGAGGATGGTGTCGAATATCCAGACCGGGATGAATATGAGGAACCAGCTCCACGGAGCCTTCTCATCCAGCTTCAGCACCAGCATGATCAAGAAGAGCAGTGTGAAGAGCCAGGTGAGCAGTACTCTCTGGGCCAGGGACATTCTCATTTAAACAGTGGAGAGAGGCTGCCGTGGGGTCTGAGAAAGGGAGACACACCCTAAGAGAGGGAAAAGCCAAGACTGGATACCAGAAAAACATCACTACTAGTCCTAGTGAACAGAGGTGGCTCCTTTCCCACTTACACTTTCTAATTTTGGGTCATTGGAAGTCCATGATGTACCAAGCTTATTTCACAGACTCGAGAGAACGCTGCATCTCGCGTTTCCCCGGGTCTCAGGCCTTCTTCCAGCTCACCTGGAAGGCCCAGAACACTGTAACTGTTCCCATCACTCTTCCTTTAAAAACTTCTAAAACCTGGAACTACGACTGCCAATAGAGCTGTCATTTCTTATAGCCCACAGCAAAGGGTAACTCTATAAGGAGATCTCCAGGAGTGTGTTCCTTTTCATTGCTCTAGTCCAGGCACCCATGGTGTTCCTTCTGGTCCCCAGGGATGTTTTTAATCTTCCTATACATTTGCAAAACTTTAGCTTTTTAATTCAATTTCAAGGGGTAATAAGATAAAATGTTTGAAATCAAAGTGGTAAGAGGGGCGGAGGTAGTGTGCAGCTGAGAAGAGGTTTTTTTTCTTTTTGGAGACAGGGTCTCACTGTGTAGTTCAGACTGGAATAAATTCATTATGTAGCCCAGGCTGGTCTCAGGGGGTGATCCTCCTGCCTCAAAAGCCACCATGTCTGGTAAAAGAGGTTTTTTGTTTTTTTTTTGGTACCGGGGATTGAACTCAGGACCCTGTGAGAAGAGGGTTTTTTTATATGGGTTATTAAAAACTATAAGAATATTAAGCAATCATCAAGCAGAATTACGATTGTGAAGAGGTCACTGGGCTAAATAAAAGGTATCGATATCATATTTGTGTTTAGTTTATGGAGCCTAAAATTTTTCTCACATTTTCCTGTTAGAATAGACTACCTAAAACTTGATGCATTTTTTAAGTATTGATGGTAAATTATTCAACAATCAGAGCATCGATGTTTTGTCTCACTGACCTATAGTTTTGTTTTATAGCAAAAGCACAAACTCACTACTGATTCAGGATATGTAGGAATATCTGGAAGGTCTCATAGCTACTCACTGTTTTCCTTTCCAGACTATTTCCTATTTCATTTTTTCAGAATTAAAATCACTAAGCTAATTGTTATTCTGATTGGGTCTACGTTAACTTAAGACAGCTAAGATATTAAGTTATTAAATTTTATCTTCACACACATGCTTACAATATGGTTCTCCATGTAGTCAGGTTTTTCAGACCAAGCCTTTGACCACTTGGAATAAGGGCAGGCAAAATGCAAAAGAGAGGAGTCAGACTGCTCTAAGGTGGGGGGAGGGGGAGTTAACAGTAGATAAGAACATGCAACAGCTGAGAAAATTTTATTTCTCTGAGCTATATGGAGAAGATGAAAGATAAAGCACTGAGATTGAGAAAAGGGCCTTCTGACATTTTTAGGAAAGGAATCTAACTACTATTGGCTCCCGCTGGGGAAATATGCCCCTGGGTAAGGTCAGACAAGACGGAACACTTGCTGGAAAGAGAAAGATAAGGTGTAGGATAAGGAGTAAACTGGAGAAAAGGTACACAAAGGTTAAGAAACAAGGAAAAGCTGAAGAACCTACCTAGGAGGACCTGGCAAGAGCAAGGACCAGGGTTCGATCCCCGGTACCGCATATCCTGCTAAACCCCACGCAGAGCCGGCCACCGAAACCAGACATGGTGGCGCAAGCCTGTAATCCCAGCGCTGGGGAGGCTGAGACAGGAGGATCACTATGAGTTCGAGCTGCATAGTGAGACCTGGGACCAAATGAATGAGTGAATGAATGGAAGAAAGCGACGAGCGAGCGAGCAAGAGAGAGCGCAAGCCTGGCTAGGTGAATCTGTGCTCATTCACGTTTTAGAACCACTCGGACTTACTAGCAGCGTCCACACACAGGGCATGGTGAAGAGTACACATCTGTTTGGCTTCCAGGAAGGTGGTAGGAACATTCCACCCCCCTTTCCCTGGGCTCCCGCACTGGCGCCGCCTCGCACTGTAGGAGGGCGCTTCCCTCTTCCGCTGGGGAAGGCGCCCATTCTACTGCTCTCCTTTGGTTACCAGGGTGCGAGGGAATTCAGGAGGACTGGCAGAGATTGGCGCTGATTGATGACTAAATGAAATCGCTCAGATCTGATCTCCAACCTGGCCATTCTAGAATCGCTCCACGAAACAGCAGATAGCACGTACTTCAACATAACTTTTTGTCACTGGATGAGGCTAACTTCACTTTCTTTCTCCTTAAGGCTTTTCTCATTGACCAGGTGGCTGCCCTAACTACAGGCTTAAGACTGGAGGTGCCAGGATGCAAAGGGCATAATCTTCCTGTGGGCACCGCTTTATAACGTGGGCTGCCACAAATTTCGTGCACACCTGCAGGACAGCTCTCTTCACTGGGAAGCTCCCTGCTCTGACGGAAAAGGCGCTGAAGGAGCGTGCGCGGAGCTACAGCCCCGAACGACACACGACTCTTAATTCTGCACTACACTCTTATTAACTTAAAAAGCCGGGCTGCCTCTTTCTGTCACTTTTGCCTTTTCCCTTAAGGGAAAGACACAGGCGTACTCTGAAACAAAAAAGCGCCACTGTCCCCTCCCGAGCTCCCGCAGGATGCAGACGCCAGCTCCGCGTCCCCGTCGCATCCCCTGGGCCCCGCGGGCCGTGCACGGCGCCTCCCAACACCGCACAACCCTTGCGCGTGGGCTCGCCTCCTGCCCGACAGTCGGCCCGCTGAGCTCACGAGTCCGTGCGGGTAACGGCAGCCGTGGACAGCCGGTGCAGCCGCCGGGCTGGCCACCTCAGCACTCCCGGGGCCGGCGTCCCGCTCCCCGCGCGGCCGCTTTCGGGCCCGCTGGCTCCCAGCTTCCGGACGTCCCTCCGCTCTCCCCGACCTTCGTCAGCACACGCGGACCTTCCGGTTCCCGATCGAGGCGTCCGCAGCCCTGGCCGGGCAAGTGCGGCGGGGCAGGGTCTGCCGCGCTGCTGGGGAGGCCAGTGCCGCGACTCACCTGGCAGCGCCCTTAGTTGGAGAGCGGGGAGGATCGCGAAGATGAGGGAATTCTCCAGTTTGGATCCTTGTCCGCCACACTTTTCCCCCCATTCAATCCAGAGCCCGTCACATGACAATTAAGAATAACATTCAGTTCCGCCCCTGCAAGCAGCTGTGGTGGAGAGTCTCTCAGCAACACCCCAAGGCCAAACCCACATCCGGGGCCAGATCGCTCAGCTCCTGGGTCTACTCTATTGGAGGAGAGCACATCAATCTGAGTTCAGAGGCCTTTTTCCCAATGATGATTGGGCCGTTTGGCTGCCAATTCAAACCATCGCCCTTTCCTTACTTTCGAGTTTGACGAAAAGGCGGTAGTAAAGAACACATTGGGCCCGCCTCTAACTGCTACGGGTCGGGAAGAAAGTCAGTCTAAGCTAAACCCTGAGCGTCTGCGGTCCCACTTGGGGCATAGATGCTAATCAGAACGGCCAGCACTCGGCCCCGCCCCCGAGGTCCGCCCGCCCCTCCCCTCCCAGACCCACCGCCCACCAGCCCCGCCCCCTCGGCCCGCCCGCCCGCGCGCGCAGACAGCGGGCTGGGGCGCAGGCTCTGGTGGCCGGGGGTGGGGCGACACCGTGGAGGGAGCGCGCGCTCCGCAGCCTCCCTGTGGCTCCCGGGCTTCGGCGGCGGCGTCTCCCGCGCACCCAGCCGCCTCCTAGCGGCGCGGCGCCTGCTCCCAGGTAGGAGTCCCGGGGTGGGTGTGCGCGGCCGCGGCAGGGTGAGGTGGGCGCCGGGCCGTACGCGTATCGCCTCCTCCGCCGCGACTCCCTGGGCATCTGCGGCCCGGCCCCGCGCCGTGCGGGCTCCGCCGGGCCCCCTCTGCCTCCGGGCCGCGGGCCGCGGGGTCGCAGGGTCCGCGCGCGGCTCGGTCCCGTCTGCCGGTGACAGCCCGGTCCTCATTGTCCTGCCGCCCTCGGCAGAAGTTCGCTGGCGCGGGGGCCCGGGTTATTTTTAGCGGGCCGAGCGGGAGCGGCCACTGCCAGTCGGGGCCGGGGCAGGGGTCGGGGCACGCCGCGCGCCCGCGAGCCTGCGTCCGGAGCGAGGCGGCATTCGCGGCGCCCGGCTTTGTCAGCGGTGCTTCGCGCTTAACTTGAGCTGACTTTAGGTAGGATACTTAGATTTTGGAATTTGGGTTTTGCTGTTACCCAACACTTATTTGAAAGAAACACCAAGTGTTTCTTTTCCTTTTTGACCTTCTTTCTCCGAGACTTGGGCTGTGGACCTAGTGTTGGATCTGACGTTAGGTGTTTTTGTGAAAGTTGTGTTTTCAACCTCTGGCCTTCCCCCGCCCCCTTACAGTATTTTAATATTGGAAGGAAAAGTCTCAGAATTTGGAGACTGTGCCCTTTAACCCAAAGAACTGTAAAATACCAAACCAGTCCTAATCTGAGCTAGGTTTGATGGTGAACACCTATGATCCCAGCCCTTGGGAGGCTGAGGCAGGAAGATTGCCAAGACTTTGAGACCAGTCCAGTACACGACCCTATCTCAAAGAACAAAGCAAAACAAAAGAAACAAACAAATAAAAAAAAAAAAAAACCCTAGCTTGTATTGGGAGTACAGTTAGCTAATTTTAAGAGAAGGACATGGACATGTCGTTTGTTGTAGCTCAGTCTCCAAATTGGAGAGGAAAGGGCCCTGGAGTGCTGGGGAGAAAGAGCCGTGTCTGGGGCCAGAAGCAAGGCGATTCCAGGAAAATATTTCCTCCTGGAAATCGCCCACCTCCCACACAGCCTGGCTGTGTGCATACATCAGGTGGTGTTGATTTGGGTGTTAGTGAGTTGGGCTGTACCTTTCTGCTCCTCCTTACTCTTTTCTTACAGACTGTGACAACAAGCAAATTGAGTACACTTTAGTAAGCACACTCTTGCCAACTCAAACCTCCAAGGTTAGATTTTTTGAACTCAGTTGGTATTGGATAAGCTCGCCCTAAAAATAATGTACCCTGAGGACTTCTTAAATCCCAAGACGTTTGTGGCTAGTCCACTGTAAAATTGCAAGAAGTTCTTAGTGAAATAGAGGCATCTCTAGATTGAGCCACAGTGACTGGGAGGTGGTGTGTCAGAAATGAGCAGCGCGGGGCACGGGGTGCACATCGGCAATCGCTACAGTCCAGGGTCTGAGGCAGGGGAGAGAGTTTGAGGCCAGCCTGGCCTACAAAGTGAGTTCAAGACCTGTCTGAACTATATACCCAGACCCTGCCTCAAAAAGAAAGAAAAAAATAAATAAAGAAAAAAGAAGGGTCAGAAAATAGTTAAAAGCATTATCTTATTTAATCCTAATCCTATGAAGTGGGTACAGTGATTACTGTCTGGCATGTTTTGTAGATGAGTTAACTAAATTGAAATTAACTCATTTCTTCCTGATTTCAGTGTTATCTGGTGGATTTGATATAGGCCTGCTAGATAATATAGGAGAAATAAATGTAACTCCCAACCTGCCAGATTATATAGGAAAAATAAATGTAACTCCCAACCTGCTACATATCGGATACCCCGAGATCTTGTTCCCCAAAGTCACTTGCCTCTATTTGAATAGATGCCTCTATTTCACTAAGAATTTCTTGCAGTTTTACAACGGACTAGCCAAAAGCGTCTTGGGATTTAAGAAATCCTGCACATTTAGTACTACCCACTATTGGTGGTTAGAACGATGAATTCTAAGTAACAACAGGTGAAAAGGGGAGATAGAGAATAGGAATAGTTTCTGAGAGACAGGAGTCCCTCGTGGGTTGCTGAGGGGCCCACTTTTCAAAAGAAGTTGTAAAGAGCAAAATCAGGTGGTTACCACATGGAACAAAATTATGACTAATCAATAAGATTACAGATATAGTTGCAGAAGCAGGGTACAGTACCAAGTGTACATAGATGACATCATTAACCTTGATTGATAATCTATAGTCTTAGTCTTGTCTTTAGTCTTAGATGGGAGAGGATGGCCACCCCTAATGAGCTAGTGGTTTATTTATACTGAAAATCTGAAAGGGGTGGTGCCAGTAACCTCCTTCTACCATTTATCCATTAGGGAAGTGTGTAAATATGGCCATTCCTGTCCGACTGCCTCTTGCTACCTAATTTAGCTGCCTATGAGAGGTTCACATCCAGCCAGTTTGATTCCAGAGCCTGTGTTCTGTGCCATTTTGCTTCGTTACCTCACAGAAAAATTTGCTTCTTAGAGACTTGGTAGGATGAGATTAGTCAGTGACAATAATGCTGCAAAACCATAAACTGAATTTGGCATTTTACCAATTGATAACACTTTCCAATCATTGTTGAATGTTGCTGATGATATAGGGATGGAGTCACTTTCTGCGAGATTCTGTTTAGGGTCAGAGATAGATATTTGAACAAATGGTGATAATAATAGTATATATCAAAAGAGTACTGTAGCATCTGTGTTTTCATTGAAAGACAGTTTATGGTGTACAGATTTGTTTGGCTTTTGAGACAGGGTCTCATGGTGTATTGCAGGGTGGCTCAGTGATCCTTCTGCCTCCTCCTCCCAGGGGCTGAGATTACAAGTTTGCCTCTCATTTGAAGTATTACCTTCCTCACTAAACAGATAAGGAAGTGATCTAGCACCATGCTAGGCTACCACACCCTGCTAGACAATAGGTTAGAGTGCTGCTGGGCTTTGTGCCTTTCAGATGCTGCATCTTCCAGCTTTAATTTCCCTTTCTATTTAGTGGGGGTGGTAAAACTTCAAAGGAGACCTACACCTACAATCCCACTCCTAGGGAGGTTGATGCAGGAGGGCCACAGTGAGTCCAGGCCAGCCTGAAGAAAAACAAAAGAAAACAACATAACCTACTTCTGAAGACCATCTTTAAATAAAAGGTAGTTTGTATGAAAGTGGCTTGGGCACATTGAGTACTACCCACTATTGGTGGTTAGAACTTGTATTCTTAAATACTAAAGTTGTAGAAACAGATTGTCTGTTGGTACACTTTTATGTAATTTTTACCTTTCAATACTTATTTTCCAAAAGCCAATTAAATCTCTTGTTTACACACTGTCCAGCTAAGCAACTGATTCATCGCTGTGTTGAGATAGTCCATCCTGAGCTGTAAGACAACTATCCAAACACTGCTTGCTGGCTGTGTGTACTTGGGTTGAGGAACTTATTTCAGGATGGGCTGTGAAAAACATCTCCGTGACTGTTTTCACCCTTACGCTTACTACCTGGTCTATAATCACAGAATCAACATTGCAAATTCTTTTTTGCGTATAAGGTAACTGTTTCTTCTTAACCCCAGTTTACATGGAATAGAATGTTTAAAATTGGGTCTGTCGTTGAAAAATCTGCGAAGTTTCATGCTGTACCATAGCTTCCTCTCAATTTAGCATACAACATATAGTTCACCTTACATATGTTGAATATGACCAGAGTGATATAATTTTGAAACTTACCTTATAGCTTCATTTTTTGTCCAGATTTTTGGCCTACTATAGTTGCTAAAAGAAGATACATTTTCACATCAGAGCAACTAGCTGCTTCCTAGAACAGGAAGTTTTTGAGTACTAGGAAAGAAAGAAAATACGCTGGATTTCATTCTGAGCAGTGTGTCTGAGCTGGGCAGGAAATGGCTGTGGTTGAAGACTACCTGATAATCACAGCCTGATTAAATTTGACGTTTAATGAGAGGAAGTTAAAGAAAAAACTCATAGTATGCGACTTTCCAGTTACAGAACCAGTAGGGGAAAGGTGCTGTTCAGAGTTTATCTAGAAGATGGGGAATGTCTTGCTGTTTGCTGCATGAACAGCATTATACTAGTAAAATATTCACTTCAGGATATGTATTAGATAGCAAAAAATGAATGAAGCTAAAGGCCCAAGTTTCAGCACTCTGGAGCCAGGCCCAGACCCAGCTGTGCTGTCTACTGCTCTGTGACATCACCCTCTTCTGCGGGGTCTTGTTTTGCTGCTGCTAAAGTTGGCCTCAGACCCCCTGGGCTGGCCTGGATCTTGTGATAGTCCTCCTGCTGCTTGGATTCCAGGCGTGTACTGTGGCACCTGGCTTTTAAAAAAAATTTGAGATTCTTACCAAATTGCCCAGGGTGGGCTCAGACTTCAATCCTCCTGCCTCACCCAGCCAGAACACTTGGAATTACAGGTGTGTGCTACCCTGTCTGGTTTGTAGGAAGGATTTAGTTTTATTTTTATATTTGGTAGTGTCTCACTATGCAGCTCAGATTCATAGTGATTCTCCTGTTTTCAGCTTTCCCAGTGCTGGGATTACAGGTGGGCTCCACCATGCCTGGACTCGGTGGCTCTGTGGCCCACTCAGTGTGGCCAGGGCCAGGGCCAGGGCCAGCATGGTATGTGGTGCTGGGGTTGGGACCCTGGTGCCTGAGCTTGCCTAAGCAGACGCTTAGTCCACTGAGCTATCTTGTCGGCCCTATGTAGGAGCATTGTATCCACAAGGTTTTTGTTTTTTTGGTACTGGGAATGGAACTCAGGACCTTGTGCTTGCCAGGCAGGTGCTGTGCCACTGAGTTATATCCCTGGCCCTCTACTAGGTTTTTTTTTTTTTTAATTTAGGACAAGGTCTATGAGGTCTATAGGGTCTCACTCTGTAGATCGGACTTGTAGTGATCCTCCTGTTTTCAGCCTCCCAAGCACTGGGATTACAGGTATGTGCCATCATGCCATCTCAGTCGTTGTCTCAGCAAGCCCTGGC